GCCTCAGCGCCCGACCCGCCGCCGCCGCCACGCGCATGCGCCGCGGCCACGCCTGCCGGGACGTGTAGTGCGGCGGGCCGCGCAAGGCACGGCGGGAGTTGTAGTCCTTGCGGCGCAAGGCACGGCGGGAGTTGTAGTCCATGCGGCCCTGCACTCATGGCGGCCGCGCGCCCGAAGCGGCTCCCGGCGTGTTGGAAGCGGCTCCCGCGTGGCCCTCGTGCCGTCCTGCGAGTCCTGCTCGTTGCTGCCTCATCGGGAAGCACCGCCAGGAACCCTGGTGGCGATCTCCCTGTGAAATAAAACGGTGCCCTCGCAGGGTTCCTGTTAGCAGAGGCCCGGTGATGGTCCCTGCGCCAGTGTAACAGTGTGTGCTGTGTTAATAAAATCAAACTCTCCGAATCCCTGAGGGAAAAGTAAACACTCAGGTACCCCTTGTGGTAACATGGTGGTTACTGACCTAAGCAGCTAACAAAACAGGCAATACAGTCACAAAATCATACATGCCACAAAATCGCTAGTTTGCAATAGAGACAGTTTTCCTCTCCCCTGCGATTCAATGATGACATTTTTACAGAGGCCTCAGCTAGATCAAATCCCTCTGTGGAAGGAATCGCCCAAATATTTAGTAAACAATGATCATATTCAGTTTAAGAAATAGATTTTGTTATTTAGCACACAATAAGAGACCTTGTTTCCTGTATACTTTTTTTTAAATGCTATTCAGCTTGCTTCATATGGAGGCCTCTCTACAAGCTCTTCTGGGGCAGTTAGCAGCAACCTGTAGTTATGTTCCTGCAAATACCTTAAAAAAAAAAAAAACAATAATTACAGAGCACAGAGGGAGGTGATAMACTCCACACGTTTGGTTTTCTGGACAGCAACACATATTGGTTAGAATATGAGGGAAACTTTCCTTTTAATGTGACAAAAATCAGCAGACATTGCCTCCTCTGGTTAAAAGYGCTATAAAAAATATTAACACCATTTTGTAAATGTCCAAGAGCTCATGGATCTAGAATTTATGCAATTTTCAGAATAATATACAAGCCTCAGCTTTTACCAGCTTTCAGAAACTGCACAAATACTTGCCATAATGCTTAGAGCAATTTTCTTTTTTTTTTTTTTTTTTTTTTGAACATACAGTTAGTGTGATTTTTGTATTAAATTTAATGGAAAGAGATCTCTTCTTGAGGAATGAATGGCTTGGAAATATGGAGCCATTCTTCTATACTTCTCCTCCGGTTTGGACAGTTTTTCACAGCTGTCACCTACTGTGCTCATACTGTCCTATAAAAATATCCAGGAATGGTATTTAACCATTTTAATGGTAAATGACTTATGTTCTATGCGCATACTAAAGTTATACTAAAATACTTAGAGTTTTTCAAAATAGCAATAGAGAAAATCTTTTTCCTAGCTTAAAGCAGTGACATTTCTAAAAATAGTCATTATTCCAGCTCAGTCCTTGAATGAAAATGCATCTTTGTTCCACACTGGCATTTAATAACTGTACTTTACAGTGAAACAAAAGCTGCAGTGAGAGTACAACAATCCCAGTTGGAGTCAGCTATGAACAATGCCTTACAATTCCCATGGTAACTTTTTTCCTATCGAATCCTTGCTAAGTCACATACTCTGCAGCTGTGCGAGCCAGAAGCCTTTCAATCTGTACTCCATTCACAATTATTCATACATTTTTGATGGTTTTTACATAACAGTGGTTTAGTGGAGTTAATGTAATACAATAGACAGTAGCCGGCCTGATGCTGTCCTTCCCCCCTCAAAATAAGACCTGATTTGACATTTCTAGGACTCACAGAACTATCATAATTGTGGTAGTTCATGAAAGGACCACAGGATGTGGCCTGCTGTTGCACTGTGCATGGAACAGGGACTTTTGCAAAAATGATAGGAGTCCGTGCAATCAAAAGCTGTTTCACAAGACACGTGCAGAACGAAAACTGCAGAGAAAAGAAAAAACTACAGTTTGATATGCTTGTCTTTCAAGTACTTTCTCCAAACTCTAAATGGAAATTTTGAATAGCAGAACATGTCATAATAATGAGATTTAGGATAGAAGAAAAAAAAAAAGATAACATTTAAAAGTGGGGTATGCATTGCACTGGAATCTGTTTAGAAACCTCCTATTTAGGAAAGCATATTTTCCATGACAGGAACCTTGGAAGTTCAGTCTTCCTTTTCAGAAGGCCTCTCTCTTCTGATGCTTACAGGCCAATGAGAAGAAAACCAAACATGTAAAGACATCTCTGCTTAATCTGAGATGCGAACTTTCAAAATCAGACAAATGCTTTCTCTCACTTGCACTGTCCAAAAAAGTTCCAGAATCAAGAGAATCAAGATATTTCAAGGGGAATCAAGAGATAACATGCTCATTTGTGGATGAATGTGAGATAAAAGAGCCTACACATTTCCCCTCTGTATTCAGCATATAGTTCCATTTGCACATATCTTGTCCTCAGATGTGCAGACTCCTGAATTCTTTTATAAATGACTATAAACCCTTTGTGTTTCTCTGCAACACAAAAAAAGTARCTCTGTAAAATATTTTTATAGCTATGGCTAACTACCTTACCAAATTGCACCATTTTTAGCTGTATCTAGAATGGGTTTCTATTGATCCCTATGTTTACCATAAATTTGAGATCTGGTCAGTAATAAAAAGCCTTCAAGTCAGTCACTAGCATCAGATCCTTGAGATCAACATCATTATGCTGATTTAAAACAAGCTCATGCCTTGCTCAGCTTTTTCTTGTTTGTGAACAYTTAATGCAATGGGTACAAATGCAAAGTACCCATTGGGAGTCTCTATACCCTGGTGTAAAATAAACGTGGACTATTACAATAATAACTCAGACYTCATTGAGTAATCATTGCTCCTGTTGACATAATCACTAATTTTATTTTTCTGTCTCTCCCCACTGCTTATTCCTCYCTCCCTGCATACCAGAGGGCTGATGACATGTTCTTCTCAGCTTCTGAGAGCAGATACCCTGGCCTGATCCTGCACAGGGCTAGCACAAGTCCAGTAGTGTGACCATATATACAAAACCTTAATGTACTTAGAACATACCACRTTGGTGAAGCTCACACTGTTAGTGGGGATCCCCTGTCATAGCTCCTCCAGCTGCTGCTGCTGCTGACTCTCTGCAGCTACAAGGTCTCCTTTAAAAGATCTTCCAACCTACAGAAGCTCCACTTTTAGGCAGGTGGAGATTGCAGTATTTTGCCATGGTGCTGACCACCAACAGGTAGCAGTGACTTCATTTGGGTGTGAGGATAAGGTTGTATAGTAGACACTTCAAAAATAATTATCTGGTTCACTTCTGCTTGTACTCAGATTTAGAGCATTAAAAACTCCTTGATGCTCTTCAGGACTAGAGGCAAAAGGTTTACCTRATGATTCTTGTTTGGAATTTTGTCCATGAGAAAAAGTATTCATGAGCACGTGATCCTGAAGCACAGAGGATCTGGACTTACCTGCTTGAACTGCAGTGGGACTGAGCCCAAGCTCACAGTTTTTATTATGTCCTTTTAACTTTCCCCTCTGTTTTGACATTGTGATTGTAAGGGATCAGAAGAGATCAAGAAGAATGAAGGCAAAGATTCTTTCCCCTCTTGAATTACACACATTGTCCAGGTGGTCACAACAGGGCGTATCTCCACACTAAATCATTTAATGGCTTGATCCACCACAKGTGTGCAGAACCTTAAATATAGTCATCTCTAATTTTATTTTATTTAAAGCAAGGTTTTCTTTCAGTAGACAGCTCCTGTTGGTGCCAGTGTATTGTTCAGTCCACTACTTAGAGCTCAGCTCAAATTTAATAACTAAAACAAATTGTAGTGTCAAAGTAAACAGGTAAACTTCAGAAGTGATTATTTCACACGTGGATATTTGCCACATCAAGTGTATGTGCAAGGATTAGGAAGGATGGAGTTTATTTTTTCACCTAGCCTGAAACCTCTAGATATTTTTAAGAGTAAAATCAGCACTGGCTTATGCCACATGAAATGCTATTGACTTCAATTTAGAAACTGGCTCCGAGCCTAGTATATTCCAGCAGAATTGTAAGACAGGCACTTATTTCCTCTGCAGCTGTCTCTATTCATAGCCTTCAAAAGCTGGCAGGTACCTTAACAGCAGTCTTCATGCTTGTGAAAAAATATTGACAGATTTCTTTTGTACTGATCTTTCACGCAGAAGCAGCTTGTGGTTCTTGTCATTGGCATGGAAAGAGAGTTTGAGAATGTAAAATCTTTCTGAGATTCCAGTTACTCAAAATGAAGTCAATAATAAAAAGTGGCCTAAGTTACTGTGTACCTGTAAGCACAAGTGCATGGTTTGATGAAAATGGAACCGTATGTACTTTTCTAGCCTCACATTTTTTTCCTTCTTTGAAGTTTCTTTATTCCATCTGTAGATTTTCAGTGCTCCTTTCCTGTGTTTTCAGGGTTGTGTTATTTTCTAAAGCCCAGTTTTAACTATCTTCTTTGCTTATCACAGACTTGTGTTTTGCTTGGAAGGAGAATTGACATGTAGCAGCTAAGAGTCTCCCCATTCCATTCCATTCCATTCCATTCCATTCCATTCCATTCCATTCCATTCCATTCCATTCCATTCCATTCCATCCCTTTAAACAATTATGTTTCTCTGGGTCACTCCACCTTTATTATGTCAATGCATCTCGCTTGTGGGCATTTATTCTGGGTAAAGAAAGTAAGTGTTCTCTGTAACCTCCACTCGTTGGACTAAGGAGAGTACAGAACCTCAAACAAAGAATTTCATGATTTAAGCTCTGATGCCTGGTAACTGCTTTCAAATCCTATTCTTGGCTAAGGCAAGTTCACTGAAATCCAGACTTTTCATTCTCATAGAAATCAAAGT